GAATGCTTTATAGTTTTCAGTATACAAGTTTTTGGCCTTTTTTTTTTTTTTTGGTACTAGGGATTGAACCCAGGGGTACTTAACCACTGAGACACATCCCCAGTCCTTTTTTATATTTTATTTAGAGACAGGGTCTTTCTGAGTTGCTTAGGGCCTCAATAAGTTGCTGAGGTTGGCTTTGAACACATGATTCTCCTGCCTCAGCCTCCCAAACCACTGGGATTACAGGTACGTGCCACTATGCCCAGTTTACACAATGTCTCTTATGGGGAGAAATGTACAAAGACATACTAGATAGAGGGGCACAGACAATAACCTCTGACACATAAAATTAACTTAAGTATGTATCTAATTAGTACAACGTATATTGATTTCCCCAAACCAATACTGCTGAATAAGAAGCAAAACAGGACATGAATCAAAATGTTACATAAACAAAATGCAAATTCATGGCTATCTGTGCAATGGATTAATGGGATTAGAGGCAAGAATAGATTGGTGGCAAACAACTCTGGACTTATGCAGCATGTGCCAGTAGGTGAGGATTGTCCCTTAGCCAGGCAGAGGATATATATATTTCCTTTCTTAAGTTATTAATGCTCAAATGATTGTATGTGATTGCTTCTTATCCATGAAGACAATAATTCAACCAGTTTTACACAAATTTTGTGTTGTCAAAATCCCAAATTTTGTTTTTGTGAATACACATAATTGTTATTTATTTTCATGACTTTTACAGTGAGTCTCTATTATTTCAAATGAATCCAGAATGCTATTTTTAAATTCTTCTCTAAAATTAGTAACTGTGATTACAGCTATGGTTCATTACAATTATCAATTAATTTAGGACTAAATAACCTATGGAGAGAAATCTAGAATACCATTCATATAAATTTCTGAAGCACACTACAAATGTTCTTTGAAAATTTCCTCTGAAGGTTAAGAAAATATTCAAGGGCAAGAATAAGAAGAAAGAAAAGATGGAAAGAAAAACAAACGGATGAACTAATAAAAAGTTCAGAGAAATAAAAGGATCAAATTTTTTTTGAAGGATAGATAAAAGCATATAGCCTATAGTCATTGTTTCCATGCATTGTTCCATGTACAATCTTGAGAATCTTGTGCCTGTGTTAATTGTTTATTTTACAGTACATTAAAATTGTTGATGCACTTTTCTGCTTCTTTTGCTAGAAATTGAGATTTTTGCATGAAAATCTTGTGTCTGATTAGAAGCATCTGTCTCATAGATAATTGTAATAGGCAGAATTCTAACAGAAACCTCTGACAGGAAAAAAAAATCAGAATGGAGTAGCCATGGTCTGGGGTGCTTAAAATGGATTTGGAAGGCCATTGTTAATCAGATCTTAGGTAGGTTCACAGCCAAACCTTTGAATTGGACTACAGACATCTCCCGCCTCCTGCCAGATTTGAGTTGACCTTTGAAACATTATTAACTTCCACTGACCTTCTGTACAATGGACCTCTTCCCCCATACTCCATAAAGAATTAGGCTTTACCCAAACCCTTTTTTACAAGCCAGCTTAACTTTTACCAGTACCAACTATAATTCCTGACTGACAAATTATATAATTTATAATCCCCTTCCTTCCTTCCTTTCAGATTGAACTGAACCACTAAGCCACATCCCCAGCCCTATTTTGTATTTATTTAGAGACAGGGTCTCACTGAGTTGCTTACATCTTGCCTTTCCTGAGGCTGGCTTTGATTCATCCTGCCTCAGCTTCCTAGGCTGCTGGGATTACAGGCATGTGCCATCATGCCCAGCCATACCCCTGTATCTTAAAGCTATAAACACAGCTGCAATTTTGTAAATGCTCAAAGCACAGTTTCAAGACCACTTGAATCTGTGTTTTCCTAGATTGCAACTCTATTTAGTCCCAAATAAATACATTTTTTTTGTTGTTCTCAACTAGGTTAAATTTATTCTGGTTTGCTATCTCAATGACTGACATCACTATATAATTCCTCCCCTTGAGAGCTTGAGAGACTGCAGATATGATGAGCTATGACTCCCACGATTACATATTATATGACCCCCCTTTAAGATGGGGACATTACTGTTTCAGGAAGGGTGATTGTCCTTGGTTTATTGACCTAATCATGTGTGTCGTTTTATTTGGTCTAGATGTCACAGACAAGTGAGAGATCAAAAGCCTAATGAGAATTTAATATTAGGGCTCTTTCTGATGGTGCTACAGGATTAAGTTGTGATATTATGAGAAGGCCTGTGGGAAAAACCATGAGTGGCAGCTAGGAACTGAGAGTGGCTCCCAGTCATTGAACCACAAGTGAATTTTGCCAACAAACTAAATAAGCTTGAAAGCAGATTCTTTCCAAGAGCTTTCAGTGAATCTGCAGCCAGCAGACACATTGAATGTAAGATCCTGAATAGGACCAAATTGAGCCATGCCATAAATTTGTAAGTTTGTAATGTTTTAAGCCACTAGGGTTATGGTGGTGATTTGTTATACAGTATGTTAATCAGCTTCCTGTAACAAATACATGAGATAATCAGTTTATAAAAATAAAATGTTTATTTTGGCTCACAGTTGTGGAGGTTTTAATCCATGGTTGGTTGGTGGGCAAAACATTTCAACTTAGGGCTGGGAATCAAAAGACAAAAAGAAGAGGTGAGGTTCTTTCAAGGGCATACCACCAGTGAACTAAGACCTCCCACTAGGCCCCACCTTTTAAAGTATCACCTCCCAGTAGTGACAAGCTAGGGACTAAAACTTTAACACATGGCCTTCTGGGAGACATTCCAGATGCAAACTATAGTTCACTGTACTAGAAAACGGCTATAGTTTGGACCTAGGTTATCCCCTGTGATGAAGATTTGGCCTCCAACTTGTGGGAATCCTTAGGAGGCAAGGTGTATCAGGGGAAGTGAGGTCATTAGGGGTATACCCCTGAGGGCTCGCATGGAATCCTGGCCCCTTCCTTTCTCTCTTTGCTTCTTGGCTTCCATAAGGTGAACCAGCTTTCTCTGCCCTGTGCTCTTAGTATCATGTACTGTGCTGCTGCAAGCCCCAGAGCAACACTACCAAGCAAATATGGAATGAAACCATGAGCCAAAATACACCTTTTGGCTTTTTATGTTGATTACCTCAGATGTTTATTACAGTGACAGAAAACTGACTAACACAACTTTGGTTCCAGGAATAGAGTATTGCCATAACAAATACAGTAGTTCCCCCCTTACCCATGGGACATATGTTCTAAGAGCCCTAGTGGATGCTTGAAACCTATATTTCTGCCTTTGCTTTTCAGAACTTCTAATCTTATTTCTTTTTAATTCAAACATTGATTATATATCAGTGAAAATATTTAGCTATCTGGTTTCTTCTTGCTGCATATAGCACAATGTGAGAGGAGATTGATACATGGCAATAACCATACGAATATGGGTTCTCTCTCAAAATATCATATTGTACTATCACTTTTGCATCTAAAGGAAATGCTTTGCAGCTTCTCTTAGGTATATCTGAATTGCAGCACTAGTGCTCTTGCACTTTGGGGCCATTATTAAATAAAAAAGGGGTACTTGAATACAAGCAGTGTGATTTGCAACAATTAATCTGAAAGCTGAGACGACTACTAGTGACTAAGAGGTAGGTAGCATATATAGCATGGATATGCTGCACAAATTGATGATTCACATCCTCAGTGGTATGGAACAGAACAGTGTGAGATTTCATCAAGCAACTCAGAATAGTGAGCAATTTAAAACTTATGAATTGTTTTTGTTTTTTTTAAGAGAGAGAGAGAATTTTTGATATTTATTTTTTAGTTATCGGCGGACACAACATCTCTTTGTATGTGGTGCTGAGAATCGAACCCAGGCCGCACGCATGCCAGGCGAGCGTGCTACCGCTTGAGCCACATCCCCAGTCCAATTATGAATTGTTTATTTCTGCAATTTTCCATTTAGTATTTTTGGAGCAAAGTTGATTATGAGTAACCGAAACTGTGGAAAGCAAAACCCAGGACAAAGGGGAACTACTATACCTAAAAACATGTCAATGACTTTGGAATTGGACAGTGGGTGGAAGTTGCAAGAATTTCAAGAGACATCATAAAGGAAAACAAACCAACAAACAAACCAGGAGGCTGAGAATTGGGACACACACCTGTAATCCCAGCACTCCAGAAGCTGAGACAGGAGGATTGCAAATTCAAGGCCAGCCTGGGCAATTTAGCAAGACCCTATCTCAAAATCAGAAATAAAAAAGACTGGGGATGTAGTTCATTGGTACAACAGTTTCCTAGCTTGCACAAGGCCCTAGTTTGGAACTATTTCAAGAATTGTGCTCACTGTGTAATCCCAGCGGCTCAAGAGGCTCAGACAGGAGAAGTTTGAGGCCCTATGCAACTTAGTAAAACCCTGCCTCAAAAAAAAAAAAAAAAAGGGGGGGGGGGGGGGCGGGGCGCTGAGGATGTAGCTGGATGGTAAACTGCTCCTGGGTTCAATCTCCAGTATTCTCTACCCCCAAAATTGTACTCAAGAGCTGTATCTAACAGACTACTGCTGAGGAAACTCATCTACACTGCTTTAGAGGATTTTGATGATGAGACCATGGACTTTGAACTGATGAGATGATGATTTTTAGGTTTGGATTAAGTCTTTTGGTGAGTGGACGTTACAATAGGAAAAGACAGACTCTTGAAAACTTTGGGTTGTAGTAAAATGTATTTCGCATTTGAAAGGAACATGTGTCACTTGAGGTGAGAGGGAGGGGCCCTATGATACCCCGTCTCTTCCATCAATCTGAGGGTTCTCAGTGATGACCATGTCCTGCAAACCTGGGGCTCTGGCACATTTGGCTTGCCACTCCGTATGGGGCAACCATGGGCAAGGTCTGTCCCTAGAGAGCCTGGATTGACCAAGACAGTTTGCCAGCAAGTGCGGTTTGCCAGGGGCACGTGATGGGTCACGCGCGCAGTCTGCTCAGTGCGGTACACCGAAGTGGACCAGCCGAATGGCCGGTGCCGGGGCCAAAAAATCAGGCCTAGGCTGGTGGGGGACCTGTGGGCTGACTGCCCTCATGTACTGCCTGTGCTTCCCGGCACTGCAAGCTCAGGACACCGAGCCCAACCTGTCGAAGAGTAAATGGACAAAGGCCAGGGGCGGACTCAGAGGGGCGCGCCTAGTCACTTACCAGCCAGTTTCATGTTCCTCCCGGCCCTGCCATTTTCCAGGATGACCAGAGCCAGGCTAAGTCTAGCTCTAGGGGCTAGCGTTGGCAATTAGGAAAGGGGGCAGTGAGAGGGGGACTGAAAAGGCCTGGGGAGGGGGGATACACAAAGTGTGCCCCCTTTCCCCTGTTGGATTTTCCCCAGTGGATGACATCTCAATTTAAGGGCCAAGGTCCTGCATGAATTTGTCTAGGTGGGGTACCCACACGGGCTCTTTATCAAGCCAAGCTCGGGACTCACAGCTGCTGTCTTCAAATAGGGCTGTGTTCCTTAGGTAAAGGAAGGTCTGAGAAGTCTTGCCCAGGACCCATTTCCCTCCCTGGACTTCTGCTCTGTGGGGATTTTTCCCATGAGAGGCAGCTTCATGCTGATATGTGTCCCCCTGCCCCCCGCCCCCCACTCAATGTAAAAATTGCTTGGTCACAAGGGCCATGTCACTTCATCCTGGGCCTTGGGTATTCCTACTTAGCAAATGAGAAGAGGGGCTATCCCTGAGGTCCTCTTACTATTATATTTGGGAGCACCAAGGGCTGGTGTCCTGAATGTAGGTGCCTCATAGCTGGAATTGTCTCTACAGTATGTGGCAGGAACAAATTATCCCCGAAGATCTTTGGTGGAAAGAGGGCAGGACCTGAACGGTGGCCATGGCAGGCTGCTCTACTTCTCAGAGGCAAATTTATCTGTGGAGCTGCCCTCATTGACAGCAACTGGGTGGCCTCTGCAGCCCACTGCTTCCAAAGGTGCAATTTCCCTCTGTGGGGCCCCAGCCACTAGGAAGAGACTGAAGGAGGGAGGCACAAGGTGGGCAGGATAGAAGAATGAAGATGTCCAGATTTCCCTATCTAGGTTTTATTCTAGGACAGTTTGATGTCATCAGGTGTCCCTGTGCTATTGCCCTACCTTTGGCCCAATGTGCCCTGCCCACTACTGGGAATGCCATCCCTGCTTGTCTGTGTGCTTCTTCCAGGCAGAGGTCTGGGACTTCATCTCACACCCTAAGGATGCCCTGCACTCCCCCTACCCCTTTCCATTTTGGTAAACCCACCAAGATGATGCTACCTGGAAAATAATTTACTCTGGTTGTGATTATCAACAAATACTGGGAAACAGACTTTAGTTCCAAAATGACCACCTCTACTTTTTATTTTTCCATAAACACTAGGGATAAAAATCTCATCCCTCTCAGGGTGGACTTTGTAGTCTGTGTCCTGACTACCCCTAGATAGTGTCAGCAGATGTCATCAGACCTTAGTTAACTCTTGTGCAAATGGTAGTGACTGTGTCCTTGTCCCTGTCCATACATGTAGAACAGGCTCCAGGTGTTAGTCCCAGGTCCCTGTTTCCCAGGGCAGGAGGATTGGGGTTAGCCCACATAGTCAGATGTCCTGCCTCCTCTAGCCAGGGCTCTCCACAAGCTATCCAGGGCACACCTTCTGTGGAGTCTTGGGTCTGGGTCCTAGCAACCTGCACATTGCACTACATTCCTCTCTGGAGTTGTCCTGGGACCCTGTTTAACCTACACTAGGGGTTCTTGCTGTTCCTGTAGTTTTATGTACCTAGGAAGAGCTGAGGGCACCACCATCCCCTAGACCAGTATAAGGGATGAGTAAATAGTTTCTGCCCTGAGAGAGTGAGGCAGATCATCAGGAGGCTGACTCACTCTGTGACCAGAGAGGAAAAGGAGGACACCACAGTCATCCCAGAAGTCAGAGCTGTAGGAGTAGCTGACTGTGAGATCCCAATTGGGTTCTATTCTTATATTCAGCACCTAGGAGTACCAAGCCCACATGGGAGATGTGGAGATGCAAGACCCACCTTGAAAGCGAGACACAAGCCCAACTTCCACAGTAGACCCTAAGGACATGTCAGGGGAGGCACCATGGTTCCATCGAGAGTGAAAGCATGGAACTGGAGGGTCTTTTGGAGAGAAGGATCCAGGCATGAGGAGTCTGGGTAGGGGCACCACACAAGTGTGTCATGTGGGCTGGAAGGTCACTAGGATTTCAAAAAGAAGTTTCCAAGTATTCCTCCTTTTCCTTCACTACGACTTGTCGAGTGCCTGTGCCCAGGTTGGGAGCCAGCCAGCTTGTAGAGAGGATGGTGTGAGGATTGGAGGGAGGGGTCATGCTGGCCTGGGAAGTGGGGACTTTGAGAAGTCTGTTGGGACATAAGAGGGTTTGATCAGGGATGAAAATGCGACACATCTCTTCCCCTCCAAATGTTTCTTTGCAGCAATAAGATTCTCCGCTCCTTGAATTCTGTAGCATGCTAGAAAAGCTGTTAAAAGCCTTCAAAGGTCTGGTATCCTAAGGTTGTAGACAGAATCAAACTCACCTCAAGAGAAGGGCTATCATAGTATTAGGAAGGGAGGAGAAAAAAAAAAACCTCTGAAATGATGGGGTGAGGTCTGGTTGTCTGCCAGGTGGGTGGGTGGTTAGGGCCAGGGTGCCTGTGCAACACTCAGAGGATCTGCCCCCAACAGGTCCCAGAACCCAGCTGACTACCGGATCCTGCTAGGGTACAACCAACTGAGCAACCCCAGTAATGTAAGCATGCAGATGACAGTGTACAAGGTCATTGTCCACCCAGACTTCGACAAGCACCATTTTTTAGGGAGTGACATCACGTTGATGCAGCTGCACCAGCCTGTGAAGTTCAGCTCCCACATTCTACCTGCCTGTCTCCCAGAGAGCTCCACAAAGCCGGACTCTACAATGACCTGCTGGATAAGTGGCTGGGGGATGATAACTGAAGAAAGTGAGCACCCTGCGTCAACTGACAGGCTGGAGAGAGAGTTGGTTTCGCTTTGGTTAGCACTTCATGTTTGAATTCTTTCCCACAGAATTCCTGCCACCTCCCATGCAACTTCAGGAGGCAGAGCTCAAGCTTGTACCCAGTGATGTCTGTGACTCCTTTTACAGACCTCCCAACCCTGCTGACTCTGGCCCCAAACCTCCTGGTGTACACGAGGACGCATTGTGTGCTGGGGACTATATAAATGAAAGGTCCATCTGCCGAGTAAGTAAGACCAGCTTAGACTCTCCAGCTGAGCTTGGCCACCTCTTTGCTGCTGTGCTGTGTCCCTCCATCTATGTCTTCTTTGTACCTAGAGCCCCTATGCACCACTCTATCCCATCCATTTTCTGTAAAAAATGTCAAAATATAGCATGGAGAGAAGAGGAGCTATAACTTGTATTGTTTGATGACTTTTTAGAGATGGATATATTCACATACCAGCACCCAAAGGGTCCTACTCTTGGTGTCTGTCACTAACTCCCCCAGAATGACCCCTTTCTGGCTTCAAGCACCATGGGTTTGTGTTTGGACTTTAGCTGAATACAACATGTAGAATCTAGGCTTTTGCCTGGTTTCATTTACTCAATACTATGTGTGTGACATTTATCCAACCTACTGTGTAAGTGAACAATTTTGCTTTTCCATTTTTATGTTCAGAGAATGGACAGTTTTCATTTGGGGTCTTTGTGAATGTCATTGCTGTGAACATCCTAGTGTCTTGTGTGTGTGCTTTAAGTTCACATTTTGATTGGGGGTCGTGCTGGCAGTGGAACCGTTACGTCATGAGGTATGTATGCATTCGTTCTTCTCTTGTGGATATTCCAGCTTTCCAAGCTGGTTGTATCCATTTACATTCCCACCAGCAGTAAATGAGGGTTTAGTTTGCCTCATGTTGCTGCCAGTGCTTTGGATCATACACTGTTTTCATTTTAACCATTGAGTGTGATCTTTTTTATTTTTTATTTTATCTTTTTTAGTTGTAGATGGACACAATGCCTTTATTTTATTCATTTATTTTTATGTGGTGCTGAGGATTGAACCTAGTGCCTCACCTATGATTGGCAATTGCTGTAACCACTACAGCCCCTGTATGTGATTTTTAATCTGCATTTATCTGGTAACTAATGAAGATAAATACTTTTTAATATGTTTATTGCGAACTTTAAAAAATCTGTTATTGCCTTTTTTGGTGAAGTGTGTCCCTTCCAACTATGGGGGGGTCATCTGTTTTGTATTGAATCATAGAAGCTCTTTATATATTGTGGATAGGAGTCCATCATTGGATGCATGAATTATGAATGTTTGCTCTGTGTAATCTTTCTGTTTAATGGTGGGGAAACTAAAGCCCAGAGAGGAAGTGGACAACACTTTAAGGATCCATGGTCATAGCCAAGCTTGGAGAGGCTCTGACCTCCTTGAGAGCTATGGCCCCCCAGGTGTTGTCCTGCAGCCTCCCCTTCCTCTCTTGTGCTTTCCCTCTTGCTCTTTCCTGGCTGTCCCTGCAGCTCAGAAGTATTCCTCACATGCTCACTTCCTGACCCCACAACCTCCTCCTGTTACTCAGTCCTCACTTCTGTCTGTCACAAGCTGCAGGAGGCCCCTCCTGTCTCCCCTGCACTCTTCACCCCTCCTCTGGACACCAGAACCCAACCTTTTCTCAAGGGTCAGCCTGCTGTTCTTGCCTTGCATTTGAACCTGGATGAAGAGGGGATCAGACATGGAAAATCCTGTGTGCTGACCATTTCCCACCAGACACTGCCCCCCCTTCTTCCACAGGTGTATCCTGACCAGTTCCAGAGCCCTGCTGCTGGTCTGACCCCAGCAGCCCCAGAACATCCTTTCAGAATCTGCACACAGTCCCTTCACCTCCCTGCTGAGAATTTCCATGTCCTTGCCTTCTCTAACCACACTCAGGCCTCACTGCTCCTCCAGTCTCCTCAGAGAAGCTCTCTAATGATCCAGTTAGTGCAGACCTTCTGGGACTCTTCCTGTTGCCTGTGTGGCCCCCTTTCCACATGTTATATGTGCAGGTGTGTGGACATGTGGTCTTGTCACATCAAGCACCTCTTGCATAGAGACTCCCCAGGGGGTATTATTCAACAGACAGCTGGAAGGCAATATGTTTCTTTGAGCTTCTGTTTTTTTTGAGATAAAGCCATTTCACCAGTGACACCAGGAATCTTCCCTTCTAGGGGCCTGGCATATTTATGGTAGCCAGCATTCTTCTGGAGACCCTGGAGCTTCCTGTGGTTCCAGCTGAGCCTAGCAGCACTTCTTTTCCCCCCTCAGCGCATCCAACAGCTTGGCATTTTTCTCAAGAAGCTCAGTCAAGGAATTCAAACTAGAGACCTTATCAAGTCAAAGACAAAGGCCTAGATTCTTTGCTGGACAGAGGATTTTACCAAAGTCCCTGGGCCAGACCTCCAGGCCAGCCACCCAGCCACCCCATGGACCTCAAAGCCATCTCCCATGTAGTTGAAAAGGTGGAGGGCACACTTGTGGCTCCTAGCATCCCCCAGTGCCTTCTCATAGGTCTGTGACTGTCAGCTGTGGAATGGGTCTCTAGGGTCCTGGCCTGGAGATATTGATCCAGGAGGTTTCTCCTGTACCTGGATTTTTAAAAATTTCCCCATGGTTCTGATGAACACTATTCAGACAGTGGAGACCCCTTGTGTCCACCGTGTCCTCTCTGTACTGGGCAATGCTTGTCCCTCTGTGTTGGTCCTACTACCCATGTCCTTTGTCTCTCTCCTTAGGGAGATTCTGGGGGTCCCTTTGTCTGCCCACTGGAAGGTGTTTGGTACCTGTTTGGACTGACAAGTTGGAGCCACATATGTCAATCCCCTGTTGGTCCCAGTGTCTTCACCAATCTCAGCTACTTTGCTGGCTGGATTAAGAAGCACAAGAAGGAGAATCCTGCGCCCGATCCTGGAAAGGCTCCTCCTGTAGAAAAAGCACCTGCTCTGTCCACTGATGTATCTAGTGAAACTGTCCTGAAGCCCAGGATGACTGTGCTGCTGTCTGCTCAGTTCCTCCTGCTGTGGCTGAGTTTGGTCAGTGCTCAGTGACAGGCTCGCAGCACGTCCACGCCCAGCTTTCCTCCACAAGGCCCCTGGCTGAGCTCTGCACTGTCCTTCCATGCTTCCATCTCTGGGCTGTCCTGTCCATCTAAGGCCCAGGCCTGATGAAATAAAAACAACCCAAGGAACTTCTGGCTCCTGTTTTGAAACTGTCAGTGCCATACCTCATGCCCTGCTGGGCTTCAAGGTACTTAGTGGTAGAAGGCCTCACTCCTCCCTAGGAAGGGACAGGTGAGGGGACACCCAGGAGACTGGGCTGGCCATATGCAAGTTTCGTCACTGTCTTCAGGCCCCAGTCTTGCCCTCAAGGGTATGTGGTTTTCTAGAAGGAGCCACAGTGCAGGGATTGGAACCCCAGTATGTGGGGGAAGTTCTCATGATCCTGGAGCTGGATGAGTGGCCCCCATTGAGTATGAGCAAGTGTCTTCCAGGCCCACAGGTCACGGAGGCTCTTCTGGAGAAGTTTCAAGTAAAGGGCAAAGGGCCCTGAGATCTGTGTCTTGGGTCAGCAATCTTGGGAGTCCTGTTGCCCCTGTAGCCACCACCTCCCCCTCCCCATATCTCCATCAGCCTGGGCCCCAGTGCCTGTGGGCTTGCTTCAGCTTGTGTGTTTGAGGCTTAGAAGGCCCAGGACTTGCTGGCCTAGCACTCAGCTGGCCCCTGGAGCACTGGCCACCCACAGTTCCCATTGCCACTTATCTTCCACTCAGGGTGGCTCATGCCGCCTGGCCTGGTGTTCACCCACACACAAACTTCAGCCTTGTCCCTCAACAGGCATGTTCTCGTGGGAAGCTTGGGGTTATCTGATTGCCCAAGTCCTTCAGGCCTCCTCTAACAGTGCAGGCAGGCTCCCACACCTAGTGTTCTCTGCAGACCTACTGGATCACAGCTTTAGCCCCACTCCCCGCAACCTGGGATCCACCTCAGCACTCACTTCTATTAGCCAGGTGCAATCTATTTTTACAGATCTGGAACCCAATGCCTAGGATAGTTCAGTTACTTGTCTGAGGTCACGTAGGTAGTAACCTGAGGAAGATTTCACACCAAGATTTGGAGAAAGACCACAAGAGTTTGTTCTTCCCACTAGTGCAGGTCATTCCCAGAGGCCACAGGCCCTGTCTGACTTTCCCTTGGATCCACATTTTAGAGGCATCAGCTACCCTGCCCCCTGTGCAGTGTAGGAATCCCTCTGGTTGGTCGAAAGGGAGGTTCCCATATACTAAGATGGAGGTCAGCGTGGAAAACACATCTTCAGGACTGGTGAGCCAGGGTCTAGGGGTTTCCCTTGCATGACTTTCACCAAAGTCAACATTTGAGGCTTTCAGGCCTTCCTAAATGCTGCTGGCCCTCTCTCTAAAATCAAGCTTGGATGAGCTGTGGAGGAGAGAAGAAAATGTGGACTTCAGAAACTCACCCAAATCAGAACTTAGAGATGGCTGTTGCTGGGGGTGAGAGTAGGGCAGTGGAGGATGGGCCTCAAGAAGGCTGTTCTCCTATTCCACTCTTACTCCCCACTATGATTTCTTCTAAGGTGTGTGTGTGTGTGTGTGTGTGTGTGTGTGTGGTGTTGTTAGGGATGGAACCCAAGGACTCACATATGCTAAGCAATTGTCCTACCACTGACCTGCATGCCCAGTCTCTCTTCCAAGGCTTTAATTTAAAGCCTTGATTATTGGAGTTGCCCAGAAGGTAACAGGGTACAGGAGAAGGGAAGGGAAGTGCCTTGGTGCCTGGGGCCCTCCCCTTCAGCTCCTCAGGACTTTAGCCTTTTAAAAGCCATGTTACCAGACTGAGAAAAAGAGCAGCTGCCAACCAGGTGAACATGTACACATGTACCACAATCACTACCCACCTCAGAAGTATGATTGCATGGGAAATATCACAGAAACTGTATTGTGCTGACAAAGACAACACATCTTTAATAAGCAGAATAAATATCCTTATGAATATAACAAAAACATTATTAGCAATAAGATCTAAGACAAAGAAAAAACACACACAAGAAAAAACAAGTCAAAATATTACATATGAAAACATCATTGAAATTAACAGTGTAATAAATTGGGAGAATACTAGGATTAATACAGATGAAAGAGGAATGTCATCATGACTTTATATGAATATTATAAGGTATGGCTTTGGAGCTGATACACTTAAGTTGTTATGTTTTCAGAGTATTTATTTGCAAATGAACCAATATTCAGCTAGATGCAGTGATACATGCTTGTAATCCCAGCAACTTGGGAGGCCGAAAGAGGAGGATCACAAGTTGAGAACAGACTTGGCAATTTATGGACACCCTATCTCAAAAAAAAAAAAAAAAACCAAGAGCTGAAGATGTTGCTCAGTTGTAGAGTTTTCCTGGTTTCTATCTCCAGTATTGCAAAAAAGAAAGAAAAAAATAACTAATTATCAGGGTATGGTTGGGTATAAGGGCATGAGAAAGCCCAGAGCAGGAGCCTGGTATAAGCAACAGCAACAGTGATTTTTGCCACCCCTAGGGACAAGGGAGGGAGAGCAGTAGAGAGAAGGTGGCTTAAGAGTTGCAAAGACAGCTAGACATCATCTGTAATCTTAGTGATTTGGGAGATTGAGGCAGGAGCCTTACAAGTTCAAGATCAGAGTCAGCTACTTAGCAAGAACCTGTTAGCCGAAGAAGATGAGGAGGAGGAAGAAGAAGAGGAGGAGAAGGAGAAGGAGATGTAGGGGGCTAGGAATGTAGAGATGTAGGGGGTTGGGAAGGTAGCTCAAGTGTAAAGAGCCCCTGGGTTCCATTTTTAGTACTATTAATAAATAAATATCAATGAAATGAAATTGAATGACTCAAGTCAAACGATTCAAATATAAATAACACAAAAACAAATATAGTTCATGAATAATGTAAGTAATTATAACCTAAATTTTAGTTATCAGAATAAAATACTTAAACATAAAAAAGTAGAAATAAAGTAATCAGAGATGAAATAATTTAAAATGCACATATAATAAAAAATAACTTTAAAGCTAAACAAATCAGAAAGTATACACCACTGAAAGGGAATAACTAGATTTTGGTGAGACAGTGACAGTTATTCCCTCTGAGCTGTCATAATTTTCTCCTTCTGCTGATGGACAGACTCAATGCAGGATACAGTCACAGTAATGGTCAAGAGAGAGGTGACCCTACAAAAGTGGGGAGAAGGACAGAGCCAGGAAGTCTTCAGAAACAAACTATTGTGTGTCACAGGAGAGAAGTCCATGGAAAATTAGAAAAACTACATAAATCATATTTCTCTCTAGGAATTCAAGAAAATAAATCTCATGAAAAAAATTAGCCCAGTATGTGTTATGCATCTGTAATCCTACAGACTCAGGAATCTGAGGCTACGAGGATCATAAGTTTGAGGCCAGCATGGGCAATAGTTGAGACCCTCTCTCAAAAGTAAAAAGTCAAAAGGGCTGGGGCTGAGATCAGTAGTAAAGTGTCCTTCGGTTCAATCCCTAGTAACCTAAAAGAGAAACAAGTTTCATTATCTATGAAATGATAAATGCCTTAGGAGATGGATATATTTTAATACATTTGAGACATAAGATATAACAGTGGTCTGCATCATGCTTTGAATATTGTACTTGATGCTCTGCCACTGAGACTTATTTTGAATGTGTTTTATCTTCTCCTTTTCTCAAATTAGCAAGTGAATTTTGACACGCCCCCCCCCCCCCATCCCAATCAGGGCACAACTGGAATGTAGCTTTTGAATGATCTCTTTGAAAACGTTCTTTTTTATATACACAATGGAATATTACTCAGCAATACAAGAGAAAAAAATTGTGGCATTTGCAGGTAAATGGATGGAGTTGGAGAAGATATTGCTAAGTGAAGTTAGCCAATCCCAAAAAACCAAATGCCGAATGTTTTCTCTGTTATAAGTGCCACAGTCTGGCTGGGCACAAATGCCGCAGTCTGGCTGGGCACACAATCACGAGCCACCACACAGCTTGTAGATTCAAACAGCAACTCTTTATTCCCGAACTCACACCAGCCGTCTACAATCACGTCCTCTGCCCAAAATCACCTTCTCTGCCCAAATCCACGTTCTCTGCCCAAATCCCCCTCCACTGGGCTTCTGTCTCCCAAAATATACTGTCTGAATCCCGTGAGAACTCAAGGGGAACTCAGGCAGCAGGATACGCCCTATTCCCAGGAGGAATAATCTTAAACCTTAAACCTGGAACCTAAACTGGGAACGCCCTAAACACAATTATCTTAAAACCGGGAACACCCTAATCTGCCTTGGTCCTTGAGCAAGGTCACCTACATTCAATGTCGCTGCAACATGTCAGCAACATGGGGTACGCTGGCAAGGAAATTGTCATACCTACTTGGCTAATGGCTCCCAGCAATAAGGAGCTGATTAATAGTGGGGTAGGGAGAGGGAGCATGGGAGGAATAGACAAACTCTAGATAGGGCAGAGGGGTAGGAGGGGAAGGGAGGGACATGGGTTAGAAATGATGGTGGATTGAGATGGATATCATTATCCAAAGTACATGTATGGTGAACACGAATGGTGTACAACCAGAGATATGAAAAATTGTGCTCTACATGTTTATTATAAATTGTAATGCATTCTGCTGTCATATATTAAAAAACAATAAAAAAATCAATCAATCAAACAAACAAACAACAACAATAATAACAACAAAAAAACACTCTTTTCCCCCTAATGGGAAGAATCATAGCCACTGGACAGGATTCCCCTGTGTTTCTCCTTTGGTAGCAAAGCAATAAAACTTTTTTTCCCTTTTTATTAAAACTGTGTCCTTTTATTGGATTGGCATAGGAACAAGGACTGAGTTTTTGTTAACGAATTGGCAACTTAGAAGGGACCTGAGAGGAGCCTTCACTCTGGCTTTCTTGTGCAGGACTGGCACTCCAAGAAATGCCACTTCCATGCTGATGTGCAAAATGAATTTGTTGAGATCCAACTGCTGAAAAGGTAGAAGCTGG